TGCTTGGAGGGCGGCGTTCAGTGGTCCTCACATGTCACGCAGACTCTTCCTTGGGCTGACGACCAGGCTACGCAGCGGTCATCACAGGTTACACCTTCAGCCTTGGTTCCGGCTCTGTTTTGTGGCGGTCTACCCGCTCGTCTTCTGTTCTCGGCTCCAGCTGTGAGGCCGAGATCTACGCAGGGGCCATGGCTGCACAGGAGTTACGCTGGCTCACCTACCTGCTGACCGACCTGGGAGAGCCGCCTCGTTCTCCTCTAGTTCTGTACGTAGACAACAAGGCCATGCTGGCCTTGTGTCGGGAGCACAGACTGGAGCACAGAACGAAGCACATTGCTCTTCGCTACTTCCTTGCTCGTGAGCTGCAGCAGCGTGGTCAGCTGCGCCTCGCTTACGTGGCCTCTCGGGCCAACACTGCTGATATCTTTATCAAGGGCACTTCAGCCTGTGATCATCAGCACTTTTGTACGATGCTAGGTCTTGTGCCTACTTGGCCTCACTTGCTCACTTCTTGACCTTGTTTGTACTGTGATCTTTCTATACCTGCACTTGCTTGTTTACCTTTATATATAATCCTGCATGTGAACTGGCCTTGTGGCCTTGAACTTGTGCTCGGAATGTGTGGTGACGTTGTGATCCACCCTGAGCTTCCTGTGCTTTGCTTGACTGGTCTTGTGACCTCTTGTTCTCCCCCACTTTGCCTATGGGGGTGTGTCAAACTTATATGCTTTAGTCTGTGTAGGCTGTAGTGGGGTAGACACTATAGGGTACAACACTTCTAGGTTTCCTACTTGTACCCACATGTTTCCTAGTCAACTCATTTTCCTCGTTATTCTCACAAACACTAGTTCGTCAAGTTTTAAAAGCTTGACCACGCGCGGCCCGCAATTTGGGCCGCGGGCTTTAAATCTGCCAAACCTTGGGAAACCCGAGCCTACATTCGAATCTCCCGCGTTTTGTTCTCTCAGATGGCGTTCCCACAGTTTCCCGACACCGAAGTTTGCCCACCAGGCTCAAAAATTGTCGGGATGGTGGTCATAGTGGATGCTCAAAAATTGTCGGGATGGTGGTCAGAGTGGGGTACTGCCCCACTCTGGACACCGCGTCCTTGCGAGCCGTACAACCACATTGCTACATTCTGACCAGTATATACGTAAAAAATATTGTCGCACCCAATAGGCCTTCACATCTGACAATCGGATGGACTCAACGACTCGGTTGAGATTTCTAACTCCCGCGTAAAAAGGTGCCCGAAAAATCGAGAACCAAAAATTCTGAGGCGCACTGAACCATTTTTGTTATTGAATGACATTGACTCCGAAACTGGGTAGCTGAACTTCGGGCAATGACACAGAAAACGTGGGTTTGGGTCGTAGCCCATTTCGGTAGGCGTCGTGGGCCGTCAGATGAGATCGTATACGGCTGTGGATTAACACTTGCACGACCAATTTGATGGGAATCTTGGTGGTCGAACTTCGAGCCGCATGGTTGCAAATTTCTCGAAATTGGCCAAATTGCGAGCCGCCTGGGCAGACTTTCTTGTCGGGAAAACTGTGGGAACGCCCCCTCAGTTCTTGGGAAAATCTGACACGGAAATCAGGGGAATGGCGATGTTTGGGAAGGCCAAGCAGATCCCCCAACCCAAACATAATTAGGGGTTCCGTGTCAAGTTTTCGTTGCATCAGCTGCACGTCAGAATAGCGGCGAATGTGCGACGCATGTCCAGAAAAAGGCTGATTATGGTTAGGCGAACAGCATTCTCCTAGGCGTATCAGTTCTTTTACCTCGTGGTAGTAGCTTCCTCGTCCGCATCATGGAGTTCGCACTTCGGTTTAGAGTCCCCGCTGCTCTGCTCAGTCATTGTTTTGAAAACGACAGCAACAGCATTGACGGCAGTGGCAACAACACGAGCAGCATTGGGACTGACCGCGCCACTAAATCGGCGAAAGACGGATCTACGGCTACGATCCAACAGCCAGCTTCACACGTGAATTATACCATCACCGTCAAACAGCTTATTTGACAAGCTGTTTCAGTCCCACCTGCCGCACTGCTGCTTGCCAGCTCAGCAGACACAGGATGACGCGGAAAAGAGCAGCAGCAAGGTCGACGAGAAGCAGGCTGTTCGATTCATGGCTGTTGGGCAAGTGGTGTACTTATCACCTTCCGTATCCGCCGACAGAGCCAGGCTTAAATCGGGTACGGTGATTAAAGTCCTGGCAGTGAAGTCGAGATCGGCGACGGGGGTAAATGCTGCGAACACCAGCGACAGCAGCAGCAACGTCGCAACTGACTCAGGGGTCGCTCCTGGTGCGGGTGCCCTACAAGCGAAGTTGAAGCCCTATCGTTGCCTTCTGACGTTAACCTCCAATCCGATAACTCGTCTTACCCTGCTCCAGTCTCTGCCCCTGCCTCCACTCCTTTGCTCGCCCCGCTCCCTGCTCCTGCACCTGCTGCTGCTCCGTCCGCCCCCCCCTGCGCCTGCCGCTGCCATGAGCAACGACACAAGAGCGGACAACAGTACCACTACCGCTGCCACTGCCGCAGGCACTAACAGTGGCACCGATGTTTACCAGTGGTAACAACAGTGGACCCTGCAGCAGCAGCAGCAACAGCGGCAGCAGCAGCGGCGGCGGCGGCGGCAGCGGCAGCAGCAGCAGCAGCAGCAGCAGCAGCAGGCCGATGGTGCACGCGGAGCACGGCAGCAGCAGGGCTGGCAGCAGCAAGAGCGCTGGCAGCCCTTCCACGCGGAGCACGCGCCGCTAACGCGCGCGCACATGGTGCACTACGTGGACGTGCACCTGCCGTGGTCGCACTCCCTCCGCGCCTGCTGCCTCCCCCGCATGCTCCGCCCCGCCCCGTCCATCACCTTCCGCATCTCAAGCCTCGCCTCGCTGCGCAAGCACCTGCAGCAGCCCGTGCCGCCCGCCATGCCGCCCTTCCGCTTCGGCCATAAGCCCCCGCGCGCCATCACCGCCTACTCCGCCACCGTCCCGCTCTCCGCCCCTCCTCCCCGCCCTCCAAGCGGTGCCACTGCTGGCGTTGGCGCCTCTACTGCAGCTGCTGCTGCCAGTGCTGCTGCTGAAGAGCGCACAGCAGCACCTTCCTTGGCAGACCAGTATCGGTGGAAGGTGGACGCGGCGCCTGTGGTGGCAGCAGAGGGGATGATGCTCGAATGGCTGGCAGAGCCACGTGTCGGCCTGCTACTGGACCTCCAGAATCTCAGGCGCCAGCTGGCAGATCATCTGAGCATGCATGATATAGCTGCTGCGCGTGCGGCAGCCAGGGCGAGAGGCACCGCTGGGGCCAGAGGCACTGCTGGGGCTAGAGGCACGAGGGCGGCAGGTAGCCCTCGCCTGTGGTGGTGCTGCTGGCTGTGCAGTGACTGTTTTACGCGCTACCGCCGTGCCGTGTCCATGGCTGCTTTCATCGTGCTTGTCGCCAAGTTCCCCCGCTTCGTCACTCTCTGGCGGTCGCACGTCCAGTCTGGTTCTGTGATCTTTCCCCACCTGGCGTTTCAGTTTGGTGCGGGGCGGCAGGCGCAGGATGACTGTGTGGCGTCGCTGCTGCTGCAGGTGCTGGGAGTGAAGGGCAAGCAGCAGCTGGAGACCGGCTTTGCTGCCCACCTGCTGCCGCTGCTGCCGGGGGGGAGGCACGCGCATGGGCAGGCGGGAGAGGAAGGGGAAAGTCGGGGGGGGGAGGTGGGAGAGGGGGAGGAGTGGAAGGACGGGTTGAGGGGGGTGGAGTGGGAGGAGTATGTGGAACGCGTGGGGGAGATTGCCGCCCAGGGAGGGCTGGTAGGCGAGCAGTACCGGCTGCTGCTGCTCGCAGTGTTGTAAGGGAGAGGGCACCGAGGGAAGAGCGACTGCGGCTGTGGGAGTCCCACCCGGCAGCAGCGGCATGGTGGTATCGGGTGTGGACCCCACAGAGTTCGCCCTCAAGTGCGCCACTCTCTTTTGCGAGCCCATGTTCGCCAACAATGCTGCTCTCGTCTTCTCCGACTGTGCTGCCCACCGCCACAAGGAGAGCGTGGAAGACGCTGCCGTGGAGGGAGCAGTGAACAGGCTGGCAGCGGCGGAGAGAAGCACAGAGGGCAGTGGAGTGCAGGGTCGGGGGAAGCGAGCAGTGGAACCAGAGGCTCCAACAGTGTCTCCTGCTGCTACTGCTGCTGGGTCTACAGGTCCGAGGACCAAAGGGTCCAGCAGTGCAAGCGGCGCCGGCGCTGGCGCCAGGCTGGTGCCGGTGAACAGTGACGCGGTGGTGGCACTGTTCACGTACCGAGTCACCTGCCTGCTGCGCTGGGTGCGGTTTTATGGCCCCAGGGTCAATTCTTCTGAGCACTGCAGATGCTACGCCCGCAAGGGTTTGCCACCGCGCTCCCGCATCCACTTCACGACCTACCGAACCTGCTGCAGAGGTTCGGCGTGCCCAAGCTTCCGGCCGCCACAGGCGAGGAAGGTCTGGCAAGGGCGGTTTGGCAGGACTTTCCGGAAGGGGACAGGGCGACAGTGGCAGAGGTAGAGAAGGATCCCGGATTCTTGGGACTCAACACTTTCCACGTGGGGGCATTTTGCGGTGGCATGGGGTTGGACGAGGAGGAGATGCATACGGAGTACAACGTAGGGCGGCCGAACCTGCCCCGCCGGGGCGCCGCGTCCACCTCCCATCGCAGCCCTGGTGTCGGGAGCACTCTGCGGGACACCTCGAACGGTCACTTCTTCCCCACGCTGGGCCACCGCGTGGAGGAGTTTCTGAGAAGGTTCGCCCCCAAGAAGCTGGCAAGGGAGGGCAGGAAGGGCCCTCTGTTTGAGGCTATCACCTCCTGGGCTGGCAGCTTGGGCCTCGGGGATCGAGCGTAGGCTGCTCTGGCCCTGGGGCCGTATGCAGAGGGGAGGATCAAGCCCATCCTACGGTCCAGAACGGAGGTGGAGGCGTTTATAAAGCTGATCGCGGACACCATTTCTCCCGTGCCTGCCTGCAGCCGCTGCTACCGCTGCTTCTGCCAATACTACCGGGCTGTGAAGCACACAGCGATCGCCGCGTCCTTCGCCTACCGCCCCTCATCCGCGCTGCTGCACTGCCTCCTCTCGCTCTCCCCGGCCCGCTCCGCGACCTTCGAATCCCTCTTGGAGAAGCTACACGTGCCTCCTGTCCCTGCGGTGGTCCCGGACTCACTGGTGGCGCCGCTGCTGGAAGGCGTGGCAGAGGAGAAGCGCCTGAGGCTGCTCTTCGTGGGCATGCTGCACATGAGCAAGGAGAACGCCATTCCAAAAATTCTGGAACCTGTCGACACCGATGGGGAAGGGGGGGGGCAGCAGCAGCAGGGGGAGGAGGAGTGGAGGATGTGGGAGGAGGTGGACAGCTGGTGCATTGCGGCTGGGAGAGCGTGGCCTGCTGTGGAGGCCCACGACTCGCCGCTGCAGATGGGAGGAGGGAAAGGAGTGGGGCGTGTGGGGAGAGAGGAGTCAGAGGATTGCTGTGAGGGCATGAGGCGTGCGATCATGGAAGATGAAGCTCTCAGGGCTGCCGGGAAGGATGCTGGGAAGGAGAAGGGGAGGGCAGGGGCGTCGTACCTGGAGCCGTGGCCGGGGGGGGTGAATCCTCTGGCGTGTTTGAGGGAGATGCTGCTGGGGGAGACCAGCTACTGCCCCCAGGGGAAGGTGGACGCCCTTGCCGCTGCTGACGCTGCTGGTGCTGCTACAGCTGAGGGACACGGTGACAAGGGAGGGCGGCGTGGGTGTGCGTCGGCACAGTGTGGCAAGGTGGAAGGGGCGGGGGTGCAGCTGAAGCTATGCTCGCGGTGTGGCAAGGCTGCCTACTGCAGCAGGGAGTGCCAGAGGGCCCACTGGCCCTCGCACAAGCTCACATGCCAGCCCAAGGGTAAGGAAAAGGTCGAGGAATAATTGAATACGGTAGGTCTAGCTTTGCGAAGGTTATTCAACACTGAAGCCAGCAAAACCTGTCCATTGACAATGTTGAAGTCCTGGGACTGGTAAGATGTTTTCTTCTCACCCAGATATGGCCCTCCACCTGTGCACTCTGATAGCCCGGGCCTCTGAAGTGACCCTGTCATTGTACCATAGATAGTCATGGATATCTCGATGCAATTAGACATCAATAGCGCACCCGGCACCAATTGCTGCTCGCAACCTCCAGAAGTACCATAGTATAAACCGAAATCGGAGATCCTTATGAACAAGTGTTTTGGTATCTTCACTTGATCGTTTGGCCTCAGGCGAATTTCGTCAGGTAACACACAATACCACTCTAGATTGCAAATCAGAATCTCCGAAAATGACGAGAGTCACGAAAGTGGTTACCGTCGTAATCGGGCAACCAAAGACTTGTTCACACGGATCTTCCACGCTCTAAGTGTGAGAACAGCTGCGATTGCAAGGATCAAAGTGTAGAGTGGGAGCATGCCTCGATGACCTGTGGAAGGGGGAGGTAAGAACCAAGCAAGGGCTGATTAGTTGGGAGTAGGGATAAGAGAAGGTTGGTACCGTACCTCAGAATCATGCTGTATAAGCTGTATGCCCAGAAACATACAGTACAGGAGAGGAAGTTGAAGGAATGGAAGAGAAATGGAGAGGAGATTTGCGAGAATAGAAGAGAAGGTGGGAAGAGAGAGGATGAACAAGCTCACCACTAGCACTGGTATTGTTAGAATCTAGCAGCAGGAATGAATGAACTATAAAGAGTTGGGTACAAGTATGAAACCCTAAAAGGGGCTGTACCCCATATTGGCTACCCCACTACAGCCTACATATATATAACATGCATATGCTTTGACACACCCCCATAGGCAAAGTGGGGGAGAACAAGGGGTCACAAGACCAGTCAAGAGAAGCAAAGCAAGCTCAGGGTGGATCACAACGTCACCACACACACTGAGCACAAGCAAAGGGCCACAAGGCCAGTTCACATGCAGAGGTATATATGCAACAACAACAGCACAGTGATCTCTACCTAGCAAAGCAAGCATGCAGGTATATATATAGATCACAGTACAAGCAAAGTCTACAGCAAGTGAGGAAACGTGGGCACAAGGCCTAACAAAGTACAAAAACGCTGATGATCACCAGACGGAAGTGCCTTGGTGAATATATCAGCAGTGTTGGCCCGAGTGGCCATGTGAGCAAGACGAAACTGACCACGCTGCTGCAACTCTCGAGCAAGGAAGTAACGCAGAGCGATGTGCTTCGTTTTGTGCTCCAGTCTGTGCTCCTGACACAAGGCAATGGCAGTCTTGTTGTCCACGTACAGCACTGGAGGAGAACGAGGCCGCTCTCCCAGGTCGGTCAGCAGCTAGATGAGCCAGCGAAGCTCCTGTGCAGCCATGGCTGTGGCGTAGATCTCAGCCTCACAACTGGAGCCGAGAACTGAAGACGAGCGTGTAGACACCAGGAAACTGAACCAGAGCCAAGGCTGAAGGTGTAACCCTGTGACGACCGCTGCGTAGCTAGGTCATCAACCCAAGAAGCGTCAGAGTGCCCAGTGAGGACAAATGGGCTCCGCCCTCCAAGCACGAGGCCCATGCCCGATGTACTGCACAAGTAGCGCAGTACCCTCTTAACAGCATCCATGTGCACCTTTCGGTGCCTACCAGGAGCCACGCAGCGAGCCAGAAGGCCAAGAGGGTACGCAAGGTCAGGTCGAGTGCAGGTCATCAGGTACATGAGGCAGCCCACTAGCTCTGCGTACGGGCCACTCGGCTCTACGGACTCGTCCGAAGGTGGAGCTGAGAGCGAGTGGCCTGCGGCCAGAGGAGTGTGCTGTGGCGAGGACCAGGTGAAGCCGAAGCGCTGAAGGACCTTCTGCACCATGTGTGACTGAGTCAGTTTGATGGTGCGGCGTGCTCTGTCCCGGGTGATCTGCAAGCCAAGGTAGCTGCGCAGCTCACCCAGGTCTGTGCACGTGTGTCTCTTCTGCAGCTCCGACTTCACCAGGGCGAGAGCCTCAGTGTCAGCAGTGGCAAAGACCAAGTCGTTGACATACACGAGAATGTAGAACGGCGGCAGCGAAGTGTCGGTGCGCAGAAACAGCGACCGGTCAGCAGTAGAAGGCGCGAACCCAAGAGCCGCAAGTGTCGTCCTCAGTGTGTCGTGCCACTCACGCGGCGCCTGGCGGAGACCGTAGACCGGCCGCCGGAGGCTCCACTGGGTACCAGGAGGGAACGACCCAGTGAAGCCAGGAGGGCGGCGCAGCCAGATCTCCTCGTGCAGGCTGCCCTGTAAGAAAGCTGTGCTGAAGTCAAGAGAGTGAAGCTCGTAGTCACGCTGAGCGGCAACGTGCAGCAGCACCCGAAGAGTGGTCATCTTCGGGGTGGGGGAGAAGGTCTGGAAGAAGTCAACTCCCTCTCGCTGACTGAAACCTCGAGCAACGTAACGAGCCTTGAAGACAGGCAGAGAACCTGGCGGCCGCTTCACCCTGAAAATCCACATGCCACTGACGATGTTCGCCCCAGGAGGGTGAACCTTGTCGACGTAGGTGCCTGTGGACTTCCAGGATGCCATCTCTGCGTCCATGGCTGTCTGCCACTGAGAGGAGTACTCACCCGCGATTGCCTCAGCGTAAGAGCGCGGGGTCGGGATGTCTGGAGCATCCGGGTCTCCCTCAGGGGCAAGCAGCATGGACACGAGATGAGGCGCAGCGGCTGCAAGACACTCAAGGTCCTCCTGTCTGTCCTCAAGGACGTCCGTGCCAAGAGCACACTCACCCCCGACGGACGGAGGACAGACAGACTCAGACTCAGCAACAAGACTAGCGGCGTAGTCTAGACGACAGGCAGCAGCAAAGTCAACAAGCTCAGCAACAAAGGCAGACGCAGCAGCAGACTCAAACGACGGGTCAGTGACAACTGTGGCTAGCAGACGCGTGACAGTAGGGTGAGCAGCACGGGTGCGGTCAGACTCCGGCTCAAGAACGGTAGGCAGAGAAGGCGCAGGAGGGGACGGCAAGGGAACACGCTGCGGAGGAGAGGAAGGACGACGAACTACGAGGTGGGTGCCGGGGACAGCCGGCTGACGCGAACGAGGAAAACGACGACCGGAACTACCAGAATGGACAGGCGAGACAGGACGCGACGCAGGCTCACGACGCTCAGTAAAACCCCCTGTCTGCTCAGTGTATGGAGAAGGAGCAGGCACCGGTGAGCCAGGCTGTAACGGAAGACCAGTAGACGAAGGGAGACTAAGAACCTGGCGAAGCACAGAGTTAGACGGTGGAGCAAAGAACAGGCGCGGCTGTGCGGTGCCACCAGCGCCAGCCGCTCCAGCACCTCCAGCAGCTCCAGCAGCTCCAGAACCCTCAGCGCCAGCTCCTCCAGGACCAGCTCCACCAGCAGCAGCACCCCCAGAACCGGCACCTCCAGTCTCAGGGTCTCCAGTCTCAGTGTCTCCAGCAGTAGCACCCCCAGACTCAGCACCTCCAGCCCCAGCAGCTCCAGTACCTCCAGTACGAGCACCTCCGGGACCAGCACCACTCCCAGCTCCAGTGACGTCAGCAGAAGTACCTCCAGCAGCAGAGCCCCGAGCTCCATAAGCGCGACCCTGACGGCGACCGTACCAGTCGTGCAGCTGCTGGGAGGTGAGAGGCACACGCGGACGAAGGCGGCTACTCCAAGGAGACCGCGCAACAGCAGACTCAGAACCCTCAGCGCCAGCACCCGCAGCAGCTCCAAAACCTCCAGCGCCAGCACCCGCAGCAGCTCCAGAACCTCCAGCGCCAGCACCCTCAGCAGCTCCATAACCTCCAGCTCCAGCACCCTCAGCAGCTCCAGAACCTCCAGCAGAAACAACTCCAGTATCAGAGTCACTAGCTCCAGCGCCTCCCACAGCAGGGCCCCTAGCTCCAGCAGCGCGCTGACGGCCAACGTACCACTCACGCAGCTGCTGTGGGGAGAGAGGGAGGCGAAGACGAGAGTGCAGCGGCGAGGCACCAGCGGAGCGACTACGAAGACGGCTGCCCCAGGGAGACTGCTCACCAGACGCCTCAGCTCCCCCAGGTGCAACAACCCCAGACTCAGTACCCCCGGGCTCAGCACCCCCAGACTCCTCACTCCCAGGCTCAGCACCTCCAGTCTCCGCACCCCCAGGCTTAGCACCCCCAGGCTCCGCACCCCCAGAAGCAGCACCCCGAGCAGGACCACCCTCAGCAAGACCTGAGTCACCAGTGACCTCAACCGGCGCAGTCAAGGGAGGAGGGTCTACCTGAGACACACCTGAGGGAGCAGGACCGGGAGCGGGGAGGGGGTCTACCTGGGGAGCACCTGGAGCGAGGAAGAGCGGCAGGGGGGGGGAGAGGGGCAGTGCGGTAGGGGAAGAGACGGTAAAAGGGAACCGACTCGTCGAACGTGACATCCTGAGAGGGGAAGACACGGCGCGAGGTGGGGTGGTAAAACTGCCAACCAGGCGCGTCAGGGACAAAGCCAAGGAAGACACAGGGAACAGCGCGGGCGGAGAGCTTGTCCGCGGTGGTATCGCAGACAAAGGCACGAGCACCCCAGACCCGGAAACGCGACGCATCGCCAACCTTCCCCATCCACAGCAGTGTGGGCGAGGTCTCTGGCAAGGAGACACGGGGCCAGAGGTTGAGCTGATGCGCGGCGTACCGGACCGCAAACGGCCACAGAAAATGGGGGGCAGCCGCATGGATCATGGAGGTACGAGCGACCTCCATGACCAGGCCAATGCGGCGCTCAGCAACCCCATTCTGCTGCGGAGAGGCCGGAAGCGTGAACGTCTGGCGGATGCCGTGCTCCGCACAGAAGGCTGCCAAGAGGTCGGAGGAAAACTCCCCACCTCTGTCAGAGTGCAGACGCAGGACGGGAAACTCCGTCCCGAACCGCTCGCGGAGCTGGAGACGAGTAGCGCGGATCCAAGGGATCAAAACATCAGGGACCTCACCCTTGGTGCGCAAGGGGAAGACCGTGGTGTAACGCGTGTAGTCGTCGACGACCAGCAGGAAGTACCACTCGTGGCCCTGTCCACGGACGCGGGCTGGGCCCCACACGTCCAGGTGGAGAGTCTGCATGGGAGCCTCTGTGGGAGGGAACGAGGAGGAGTGAGGAGCGGCGCGCTGCCGCCCCTCGACACAGGGAAGACAGGGAGGAGCAGGCGAGGGTGGGAGGGGAGGGAGAACCCTGGGAAGACCAGAGACAAGGACACGGCAGTGCGTGCTACGAAGGCGCTGCACCGAGGGGTGACCAAGGTGGTGGTACCAAAGGAGGGTCTGGTGCGACAAGGCGCGACACGAGCAGGGGGCCGCTAGCTGACCTGACGCAGATGTTGCTACCTGAGGGGACTCAGTGGTCAGTGTGTACAGGCCCGACCCCGACTGCCGAGTGAAGGTAGCCAGGTGACGACCCGTCTGAGCACACGTGCAGTGTGTCACACGCTCGTAGGCAGGGGTGAACTGGTGAACACCCGCGTCCTGGAGCGCAGAACCCACCACCAAGTTCGTAGAGAACGAGGGGAGGTAAAGACCCGACAGTGTGCCGGACGGGACAGCAGGACAAGGGAGGACAGTGGTGGAGGTCGCACGGATTGGACCCCCAGAGGGGTCTGCCAGGGAGAGTGCAACCGGCCGACTGAGCGGCGTGAGGGTGGTGCTGTCGCGAAAGAAGGAGCAAGAAGCACCGGAGTCAAGTGTGAAGGTGTACAAGGCCTCAGCAGGCGCAGTACCAGAGAGAGCAGACTCACCAGCACCTGGAGCAGTAGCCTCACCAGTACCTAGAGCAGGAGACGCACTAGCACCTAGAGCAGCAGCCTCACCAGCACCTAGAGCGGCAGACCCTATACCTGGGTCAGGCGGTACGCACAGGGAACAGGCACGGTCAGCACGAGTAGGCAATGCATACATGGCAGTGAGAATAGCATCATAGTCAAGAGCAAAGATATCTACCCTCTGTCCAAGCAGCTCCAGCCAGGTGGGGAGCTCAGCCTCGTCGCCAAACTCGGTACGCCAGGCGTCGCTCAGACGGGCAAAGCAGCGGGACTGTGTGTGACCAGGCATCCCGCAAGCCTGACCAGTCCGATCACCTGTGCGAATGACGTACGGGCAGCGAACTGGACTCAAAGACCCTCTACTCTGAGCGTACCACTCAGGAAGCTGCTGGGGCGTAAGTGTCTCGCGCGGACGCCGCTGCAGCTGCAGTAGGCCACTGCCAGACGCTCTCGACTGACCAGCTCCAGGGCGACAGCCACGACGGCTACCGCCACAAACCCAACTAGCGTACCACTCACGTAGCTGCTGGGGCGTGAGAGACTCACGCGAACGTCGCTGGAGCTGCATCTGGCCACCGCCAGTAGTAGCAGTAGCGGTAGTAGCAGTAGCAGCAGCAGTAAGAGCCTAGCAGTAGTAACAGAAGGAGCAGCAGTAGCAGCAGTGGCAGCGCAGGCAGGGCAGGCGCGGCAGGCGTGGCTGGCAGGCAGGCAGGCGTGGCAGGCAGGCAGGCAGGCAGGCAGGCAGGTAGGCAGATGGCGCGGCAGTGCGCGAACAAGGCAGGTGCTCACCAGTGGCGGGAAGGGCAGGCGCACGACGGCGGCGACGGCGGGGCCGCGACAGCTGCGGCAGAGTAGGGCCGCGTCGGCGGTAGGGCAGGTCCGCGTCAGCTGCTGCAGGGCGGGGCCGTGACAGCTGCAGGGCGGGGCTGCAACGGCGGCAGAAGGCTCCGCGGCAGCTGCTGCAGGGCAGGGCCGCGACGGCGGCAGGAGGCTCCGCGACAGCTGCTGCAGGGCAGGGCCGCGACGGCGGCAGGAGGCTCCGCGGCATCTGCTGCAGGGCAGGGCCGCGACTGCGGCAGGGCGCTCCGTGGCAGCTGCTGCAGGAGCGACTGTGGCAGGCAGGCAGGGGCGGCGTCCAGGGGCAGCCGCGACGAACAGGGGCAGCCGCGGCGCGCGAGGCTGCAGCGCGCTGCGCGTGCTGCGGGCGCGGCGCGCGGGGCTGCAGCGTGACGCGCGGGCTGCGAACGCGGCGCTCGGGGCTGCAGCGCGACGCGCGGGCAGTGAACGTGACGCGCGGGGCTGCAGCGCGACGCGTGGGCAGCAGGCGCGACGCGCAGGGCTGCAGCGCGACGCGCGGGCAACGGACGCGACGCGCGGGGCTGCAGCGCGACGCGCGGGCAGCGGGCGCGACGCGCGGGGCGGCGACCTGGCCTGACGCGTCTGCAGGGGCGGCTCGCGGGCCTGACGGACCTGCAGGGGCGGCTCGCGGGCCTGACGGACCTGCAGGGGCGGCTCGTGGGCTTGACGGGCCTGCAGGGGTGGCGCGCGGGCCTGACGGGCCTGCAGGGGCAGCTCGCGGGCCTGACGGACCTGCAGGGGCGGCTCGTGGGCTTGACGGGCCTGCAGGGGCGGCGCGCGGGCCTTACAGACCTGCAGGGGCGGCGCGCTGGCCTAGGGCAGCAGTAGGCAGCCTGAGGGCTGCAGGACGGCGCGCGGAGCGCAGCACGTCACAAGGCAAGGCAGGCAGGACAACACGTGGGGTAGCGCGGTAACCGCAACGGTAGGTGGGCCCGAAAAAAAAAAACGGTCCTACGGACCTAGTGCTCAGAAACCATGTTAGAATCTAGCAGCAGGAGTGAATGAACTATGAGAGAGTTGGGTACAAGTATGAAACCCTAAAAGGGGCTGTACCCCATATTGGCTACCCCACTACAGCCTACATATATATGACATGCATATGCTTTGACAGGTATTTCCAGGTGTGCCAGTCGCAGCTGTCCCCGCAGTGGGCACTGTGCTGCTGCTACTAATATCTCCCTTGCTGCTGCTTCCTCCACTGGAGTCCCTGCTGCTGGCAGGACTGCCATCCGCCCTTCCACTCCCATAGGCATAACTGCTCCCATTCGCTTTCCCGTCGCTGGTTCCATTGGCCGCCGTGCCGTTACTTGTCATGTTCGTGTTATTATACGGGTTGTCTCTGAGGCGGGGAAACAGAACGCCATCCACGCCATGCACCACCATGCCAGCGCTCTCCATCACATCAGCCCACACCACCCGAGCCACGTTCATGTCGCTGCCAGCCTGCTCCCACATGGTATCAGAGCCTTCCTCCTGCGCGTCCTCGTATGCGTTGAGCCACGCGAGGTACTTACTGCCGGAGAGGGTCAGCCCCGGCACCATCCGGTTCATCCACCGCGTCACCTTGCCCGCCAATTGCTGCTGCTCCTCCTCACTCCACTCGCTCAAGTAGGGGGGGCCGCGCCTCCCACTCCGCGAATCCCCCCATGCCCCACATGCCCCACGACGCGTACATGTTCGCCAGGCGCCGGGGGGCCTTTTCGGTGAGGGCGAGGTCCGCCAGGGGAGGCTCTGCAGATTGAATGTGCGGCTGCGCGGAGCTGTTGGAGGGAGGCGACTGCTCGTTGGGCTCGTTGTCAAGCAGGCTCATATGGTATTCAATCCAAGACAGGCTATCCGCGGGGTCAAACAGGACAGTTCCGTTAGCGACGGCGATCGTGCCGTTCATGTAGAATTCCGTGCCATTCCGCTTCACCCAATACGGGATCGTCTCGGGGTCAAACAGGACGGTTCCGTTAGCGGCGATGGTCGTGCCGTTGGGAAGAACAGCGTGCCGTCATTCCCGTCGGTGGTGTCGTCATCCGCCACGAGTACCCCCTCGCTCATCAGCGCGCGCTGCGTGGGCGAGTACGCGTTGAGCAGCGCGGCGGACTGGCTCGCGTTGTAGTTGATCCACAGCCCCTGCCCGTTCACCGTCGTCAGGTTGCCCGCATCTGCCGTGAACTGCGCCGCGATGGCCGCCGCGTCCAGCGCCGACGTCGCCATGTGGAACGCGAGGAGCTCCGACAGAGCCTTCAGCGCCTCGGGCCGCTCCTTCGCCAGCGCCGCCAGCGACGCGGGCGACCCGTCGTCGGAATAGACGGCGCTTAATGCGGCGATGATTGGATCGAAATCCAGCGCTCCGATTTCGGGCATGGTCCAGTTGTCGACGGGAAGCGTCATGTTCTCCAAACTCAACCCGTCTGACGCGCCGCCCGAACTTCCCGGGCTTACGAGCGTGTCGCCGCCGCCGCCGCCACCGCCGGATCCAAAGCCGCCGGGGAAGGAAAAGTAGGCGTTGACGCACGGCAGGGCGAGGGCGTGGAATGCGGCGCGCCACGCGGCGTCGGTGGGAGCGAAGAGAGTGAGCGGCGCGCGCGCGGGCAGCTGGCGAGCAGCCCGGCGGCATTGAGGACGAGCAGCGACACGTCGAACGACTGCGACGGCGACGACGACGACGACGACGACGCGCTCGCCAGTGCCGCCGCTATCGACGACGCGGCGGGACCCTGCGCGCCGCGCACGGCGCACGGCGCGGAGAGCGCGATGGAAATGACGAGGCACAGCAGCGCTGCGTGGGGAAGACGAATACCACGCACGGCGAAGGGAGGGGCGAGTGCCATCTTTGGCTGTGAACGAGAATGAGCGCCACAAGTGGTACTACTAGGAATAAGTGCTCTGAATGAAGTTGTGGAGCGCTGGCTCTTTACGTGCACCCCAGTTGCCTTGCTTGCGTGCTGCTAGCTGTGATGGTGAGCACCTGAGGGGGAAGGCCCAAAGAAAAGGCGCGCCCAGCCAATCGCTTGGTTGAGGGGCGAGGCGAGGGGTAAACAAATTTGGCGTGCCAAGCCAATGGATTTGGTTTGGCCCCAGAGAGGACGAACCCAGACCACATGTCCGCGTGAACAACCTGGGAACTTACCAAAAAGTCCGAACTTTTGATACGGTAAAAAATGGTCCGCATGTTTACTGCTATGCTTTATGAGTTATAGTACGTTGCAGAGCGGTGACGGTCCGCACTTCTTCGACTTCCCCCAGTATGTTCCACGCTCTAAGTGTGGTCTGGTTGGCAGTCGTGAAGCTACATTAGTCGGACGGGTCAACGAGAGGTCAACCCTCGTTGACCCGAAGTCAGAGTGATTGGCAGCACAACGAAAAGGACTTGGGAAAAACAGAAAGCGATTCTAAGACATGCAACGATCGCAATGTAGAGAGCTAAAGTGTTATGATCACCCGTAATGGAAGGAATTAAACTCCTTACTGTAGCATGACCTTAGCGAGTACACCCGAGGCACGCGTCAGTTCGGTTCGGCCAACAATTCTGTACCAGACCACTTTCTCACATATCGTTCAACACCCACACATACCCCAATCACAAGTGTCCCCTAGCAACTCCGCGAGCCTTCTGCATCACCCGAGATGGCGCTAATGGCTGCCGTTGGCGCGCCAGGCAGAGGCTACTCCCCTTCGATCCGCGCCTCCACCACCCTTGACCCTCGTCGCTTTGATCGCATCGCGGTCGTCAGCCACGTCGACTTTCAACCTCGCCATGCATCGTCAACGCGGCGACGCTGCGGAAGGTTCGAGTTCATTGGCGGAAGAATACCGCATTCTAAGCGCGCATTAGCCGTTTCCCGAAAGGGCTGCGGGCGCCGTTCCGCGGATGCTCCGCCAAGGTGGTTGGTCACCCGCGCGGGGGGACTTGGAGGCGGGAATGGCGAAGGGCCAGCGGAAGACGAGGGTAGAGGGGGACGCGCGCCCGCGGAATGGGTAGCGAGGGAGGCGGAGGCGGCGGACCTGGACGCGCCGGTGCTACGGGTAATGCGGGAACGGCGGGAGCAGGGGAATGCAGGCGGAGCAGCAGCGGGAGACAGAGCGGAGGCGTCTAGCGGAACATCGGCAACAGCGGGAGCACCGGCGGTAGCGCCAGAAGCACCGCGAACAATAGCGGAAGCATTAGCAGCAGCGGCTGCAGTGGTGGCTAGTAGCGGCGATTCAAAAGGAGTGATTGGGCGCGACTGGGGTGCCACGTGGGAGGCCGTGACTAAAGCGAGGGACCTGATGGACGAACAGGAGAAACGGAACGGGCAGGCCGCAGGGGAGAATACAACGGGAGGGTTACTAGAAAGCTCGCCCTGGGAATACCCCAGTCAGGGAGACACCGGAGCGTACAGTAGCGGGTACGGCGGTAGTGATGCCGTTGGGAAAGCGGAGGAGGCGGCGAGAGTGGCGATTATTCGCGGGTATGAGAGGCGGGCGGAGACGAGGGGGCGCACAGTCGTGGTGCGGCCAATGGCGGGGTGCCACGTGGCAGCGCTGACGGAGATGTTGACGGATTCGTTCATGGACTACATGGGCGGCATGACGTTCAAGCCGCTGCTGCGCATGCAGGTGCGATTCTCGGGTTTCTGCGAGAGGGGGGTTTGGGCTGGAAGCTAGGGTTTCTGGGTTAGGGTTGCTGATTCTGCCTGCAAACTTTGGGATGGGTAGGGATGGACTGTTGTCAGCGGGGATTAGCCTATGCCATGCTGCTCACCTTCTCTGTGCTGTACACATGGTGCCCCCCCCTTCCCTTCCCCCCCTCTCCCCTTCACACGTCGCACCTCTCCCCGCCCACCAGATCTCTGTCTATGTGGCAGGCCGACTACGCATTGTGCCACATGGCGTGATGCTAGTGGCTACTCTGGAGCAACCTCCTCACTCCTCCGACAGCGAGCCAGGTGCTGCTTCCTCCTCCTCTTCCTCCTCCTCTTCCTCCTCTTCCTCCTCCTCTCCCCCGCCTTCCCCCTCCTCCGACGTTCGTCGCTACAGCCTGCAGCAGCAGCCGCTACAGCCAGGCGCAGCAGCAACAGCGTCGCCACCAGAGGGGCCAGTGGTGGGAGTGGTGGAGCTGGCACTCACAGGCAAGGCGCGCCCTGCCTTCCCCACGCTTGACCCCCCGCCTCATGCTGCTTACCTCTGCAACATGGCCGTGGGACATCAATACAGGCGGTGAGTGGCAATACAGGCGGTGAGTGGCAATACAGGCGGTGAGTGGCAATACAGGCGGTGAGTGGCAATACAGGCGGTGAGTGGCAATACAGGCGGTGAGTGGCAATACAGGCGGTGAGTGGCAATACAGGCGGTGAGTGGCAATAAGGGCGGTGAGTGGCAATACAGGCGGTGAGTGGCCAGCAATGCAGGCAGTGGGTGGCAATGCAGGCAGTGGGTGGCGGCATGTGGGAGAGCGCAATGTGAGGAGTACGGGATGGAAGCTGGGAGAGGGAATGGGCAAGAGGGGGTGTGCAAGAGGGAATGGGCAAGAGGGGGTGTGCAAGAGGGAATGGGCAAGAGGGGGTGTGCAAGAGGGAGTGTGCAAGAGGGAGTGTGCATGAGGAATCAGTTATAGCCATCTTACCACCACCAAGAACCTCTCTCCCTGGTGTGGCTTCCGAACGTCTGCCATATATTGACATTCTTGTCTCATCCACCCTGAAACCACCTTAAACTCACCCTTACTCACCACACTCCACCCCACCTCACTTCAACCTACCCCGTTTCACTCCACCGCATCTCGCCCACCATCAGGCTGGGCATCGCGCGAGTGCTGCTGTCAGCAGTGGAGGAGCTGGCAGCGACCCTGGGAGCCACGTCCATGTGCCTGCACTGCCGCCTCGTGGATATCCCCCCCTTCCTGCTCTACTCCTCTGCGGGTTACACCACCTTGCAGCAGGACCACCCCCTTGCACCGCTGCTCACCTTCCAGCGCAGGAGAAGGCTCATGCAGAGGGAGTTGAGTGGGAGTGGGGGAGAGCAGGAGAGTGGGGAGAGTGAGGAGGGGGTGGAGGGGAGGGATGAGGGGGGTGTGTGGAAAGAGGATGGGGGGTTGTGATTGGAGGTGGGTGGAGAGTGATGTGATGCAAGGGTGGCTTGTTTTGAGGCCTTTGCTGTACAGTTGATCTTATTTACTGTTTTGTGTCCAGTGTAGACAGGTGGTGTATCAGGCTGGCTTTGGGTTTCGCATAAAGGGGGCACTGTTGGTAATGAAGGCGTGCCTTCGCAGATTCTGGAAACCCTGCAGCAACTGTAGTATTCTTGGTTGTTCAGCAATGGGAGCAGAGCAGCGGGTGCATGAAAGTGGCATGGTGTTTATTATATTGTGCTCTTAGCGGGCAAAACTTACTCAGTGAAGTGTGGGTGTTCTGTTCACATGCTTTCCGTGGGCCCTTTTTTGCTATGAAGTTGCCGTTCAGATCTGTTTGGTGTAGTTGAGCGTGTTTGAAGTAGATGACTTGTAAGCGTGATCAAAGTGTGTATACACATTGGCGTACCGTGCGTGAATAGAATGCTTCAATATCAAGACGACACTGGAGCGGTGTTGCGACAAGGACGGCCCCGGCAGGCGAGGTTCGATTCGAAGCATCTCATGCGACTCACGAAATGGTTGCAGCTGTGCGACCGACGGCACGGGACCGCTCGGTCGTGCTGACGGAAAACATGTCGCGCGATCGATGCGAAAATCAAGAATTTGAATGTTCGAGCGAAGGGAAGAAAGCCCATCCCAACCCTTTTCGACCGAGCCCCGTCATCCATTCACCACATCTTTTTGAACCTGAATTCGGAGTCATCCCAGTCTTTCGTGCTCACCAGAGTTGTGACTCATCTCACTTTTGTCAGTGCGTGGGTCCACCTTTCACAAATCTCTCTAGGCGAACTATCCCTAGAAAGCCGACTCGGCGCGCACCTAGGTTAGGCAACCATGAACCAGTACCCTTCTTCGGGGTCGTACGGCTATCAATCCGCGGACGGCGCGTCTGGCGCGGCGTCTCTCCCCGCGTCGACAACGGATAAGATCCAGCTGCCATGCGCGCACTGCCATGCCGTGCTCAGCGTGCCCGTCGGCCTCTCGCGCTTCCAGTGCCCGCGCTGCTCTTCGCACCTCTCCGTCGACCATGCGAAGCTCGCCGCGTACATGCGATCGCTTAACGAAATGGCAGCGTCCCTCGGTGGTAACGCCGGCGGCACCAGTGCGGGAGCTCAGTCCGCGGCCTCTGCGTCCGCTGCTGCAGCCGCAGCTGCCGCTGCTCGCGGCACCGGGAATGCCGGTGCCGGTGGTTCTGCCGGCGCTGCTGCTTATCCCGGCGCAGCGCAACGAAGCGCAGCCCAATACTATCAGCAACAGCACCAACAGCAGCAGGCTTCCCAGATGATGCTCTCGTCGCACGCCCCTCACGGCTCCGCACCAGGCGCGACAATGGCAGCCGCGGCGACAGGTGCGACCGCGGCTGCTGCTGCTGCTGCGGCGGCCGCGGAAAGCGAGCAGGCGAAGAGGCGGAGAGTGGATGGGTTAGGGATGCGCTATTACGCCGCGTCCACACCTACCATGGGAGGGGATGGGGGGATGGGCTCGTATGGGCCCGCGGGGATGGGGGGGATGCCCGGGGCGGGGGGAAGCCTGGCGGGCCTGGGCGGGGGAATGGCGGGGGAGGGCTTGCGCGCGGCGCAAGCGGAGGTGGATGCGAGCTTACGGCGCATGATGACAGGGGGGAGGGCGGGCGGGCCGACGGCGGGGGAGGAGGCGAGGCAGGTGGAGGCAGACGCGAAAGAGGTGCGTGCGAGTGGGCCGTGCTGCTGCTGGTACATTCGATGTGCAGGAGAGTGTGCTTCCGCTATTGCCCTTGTCCCTATACGCAGCACGTGCTGACTTGGTTGTTTCCTCTGAACTCGCCTGTTGTGTGCTTGCCGCATGCGCCATGACACGTGTTATGGTGTGTATGGCATGCTGCATGCGTGTGGGCCTGGGTGTGCCGTACTGTATGTGCATGGCGAGCAGGCGTTGATTCAAGACGAGGAGGACGAAGAAGGCGTGGCGGGAGAGACCTTCGCAGCTTACGTGAGTCATCTGTGACCCCCACCGCTGCCCCTTACCCTCATTCTTCATCTCTCGTCCCTCGTCCCACTCTCCGCTCACGACCTTTGTTCACCGCGGCTCTCCCTCCGTTCTCCCTCCTATCCTCATCCTTCACACCCACCTGCGCTCACTACTTACCCTCCTCACACCCCACCCTCTTCTCTGTGCCCTCCTGGTCCTTGTGCTTTCCCCCTCTCTTCCCCAGCCTCCCCGCCACCACTCTCTCCTCTGCTTTCCACCTGTGCTTCTCCCAACTCAATGCCTTGGGATCAAGCCCACCCTGCTCTCTCCATCCTCCCTCTCTGCCCCCCTACGTCTCTCCCTCTACCCCGGTCATGAACAGGTCAAGCTCTCCCGTTTTCTCCCTCTCTTTATCCTTCCTCTCCCTCTCCCTCTCTTTTCCCCCCTCCCTCTTTCTCACACACTTTTTTTTTCCGCCAGCGCCCTGCAAAGCTATCTCTGGGCCGCCCACACCCCGACCCCGTGGTGGAGACTGCCTCGCTGGCAGGCGTGCAGCCGCCCGACATCGACCCGTCCAAGCTGGCGCTGCTGACGGGGCAGGATGACGTGGCGGCCAACGCGCTGTCGTCATTGCAGCTGGAAACGATTTGTTATGCCAGCCAGGTGAGGAGGAAGGGGCGAGGGAGAGGCGGAAGGAGGGAGGGGGAGGGGGGAGGGAAGAGTTGATGGGGTGGGAAGTAATGGTGTGGGTTGAAGTGGGGTGGGATGTAATGGGATGAGTGGGCTTAAATGGGTGTTTTGAAGCACGCCTCCCTGCATACGCCTCAAGCATCCCCCTGCACCCACCCCGACCCCTTTCCACTCACATTCCTCCCTCCACACTTTCTTCTCCCGTCTCCTCTCCCCTATCCACCCACCTCCCCCCACCTCTCTCCCTCCCACCCCCCCTGGTCCGCCCACGTGGCAGCGGCACAGGCAGCTGCTGCCGGGGAACGTGCGGGCGGGGTTCTTTCTGGGGGACGGTGCGGGCGTGGGCAAGGGGCGCACAGTGGCGGGGATTATACGAGAGAACTGGCACCAAGGCCGCCGCCGCGCACTGTGAGTAGGGGGTGGGGATGGAGACGGGGTGGGGTGGGGGGTTGAGGGACCTTTGAAACGGACGCACAGTGGCAGAGATCATCTTGGGGAACTGGCACCAAGCCCGCCGCCGCGCACTGTGAGACGGGGGTGGGGGGGAGAGACTGGAGGGGAAGGAGAAGGGGTGTGGAAAAGGGATGGGAAGGAGGGACGATGGACGGGGCTAGTGGGAAGGAGTGGGAATGGAGGTCGTGGTGCTGCTGTTTTACCTGCCCTTGCATTGCTCCATCCTCCTCAAAACCCCCACCCACCAACCCCAGCACTTCCTAGTCCCATTTTCCCCATTTCCTCTTCCCCTTCCCCTGCCGGCATGCCAATCACCACGCCTCTTGTGTTCATCAAACCCGGCGGGCAGGTGGATATCCATCGGCCCTGATCTACGGTTTGATGCCAGGAGGGATCTTGATGACATTGGTGCCACCGACATTCCAGGTGCAAGCCGCCGACCCCCACCCATCCCCACCTGTTCCCACCCATCCAAACCCATTCCCAACCAAGCCTGCCATTCACCTGTCCTCGCTCCTTCTCTCCCTCCTGATATCCGTTTCTGTGTTTCCTGTCAATAACACAGCCCTTTTTCTTGTTTCTCTACACATGTTTGTCTCGTTCGCTGTGACGGCTGCCTTTCTTGACATCTATGTCCCATTTCCCCTACCCTCATCTTTCCTTCTCCACCTCAATCAATAATTTCTCCTGCTCTCCGCCCTCCACTCACCATTCTCTTCCCCCCCCCCCCCCCCCCACCCCCGCCCCCCGGCCCTTTCCCCTTCCTCCGCATCCCACCCTTTTTACTCCGACATTGCCCTGCTGTCCACACCGCATTCATGTCGTGGCAATGCAACGACTCATCTCAACGCAACAATGCCTTGACGTGACAACCGTGTGGTCGCTTGCGCCAGTGCACGCGCTCAACAAGCTGCCCTACGGCAAGCTCGACTCCAAGGCCAACAAGGTCCGCCCACACCCTGGGGGCCATGGCACCTCGGCGCTGGGTGCCAGGTGGTGGCGCTGGGTGGTGGTGGTAGTGGGTGGTGGTGGTAGTGGGTGATGGGTGCTGGGTTGGGTTGTATGAAAGGGGGTGGCGGTGCTGTGTGTCGCCAGTGATGATGGCTGGCTAGGGACGGGTGATGGGGGCAGGTCGGTTGGGAAAGTGCTTAAGAGAAACAGGGCCATTGCATGTTTGAGTGCATGTTTATAGCTCGAGGAGAGAATGCTATTCCACCCGAGAGTAACCCCTGAACTATGTAAACCTGAAACCCCTGACCGGAACCCCTCCTTTTCTGCCCCGCCGCATTTACATCTTCCCTTCCCTTACTGCTAACCTGTCCTATCTCCTCTCACCCTCCACACCCCCTCCATACCAGCCAAGCCCACCTTCACAGGGCACCTGGTACGGTACCATTGCCAGCCAGCTCCCAACTCCACCACCTCATTATCACCCCCTCCTCACACACCCCACTCCTCCGCCATCCCACCCCATCACCCCACCCCCTCCTCCGCGCGCAGATCAAGGAGCGCGTGCTGTTGCTGACGTACAGCACGCTCATCGCCATCTCCCCTCCCTCACACCCTTCTCTCATCACCTATCGCCCATCACCCATCACCTCCTCCCGCTCGCCCCCTTTCCCCCCTCCTCCCCCGTCAACGCGCGCAGATCAAGGGGGGCGTGCTGTTCCTGACGTGCAGCACGCTCATCACCGTCCTCCCTCACACCTTCTCCTCCCATCAACCATCACCCACCCCCCTCCCCTCCCCTCCCCGCGGTGGCAGATCAAGGAGGGCGTGCTGCTCCTGACGTACAGCACGCTCATCGCCCCTCTCCTCACACACCCCGCTCCCCCATCACCCCACCCCGTCCTTCTCTTGCAGATCAAGGAGGGCGTGCTGTTCCTGACGTACAGCACGCTCATCGCCCCTCTCCTCACACACCCCGCTCCCCCATCACCCCACCCCGTCCTTCTCTTGCAGATCAAGGAGGGCGTGCTGTTCCTCACCTACAGCACGCTCATCGCGTCGGCAGAGAACCGCCGGTCGCGCCTGCAGCAGATCACCCAGTGGTGCACACCGGGCTTCGATGGCGCCATCATCTTTGACGAGGTGTGTGATTGTGATACCAGAAGGGAGGGAGAAAAGGTTGGGTGGAGGGGAAGGAAGGGGAAGCCCTGGGCTGCAGCAGATTACGCAGTGGTGCAACTTTTGAGGCGCCTCAAAAGAGGGAGAAGGGGTTGGGTGGAGGGGGTGGAGGGGAAGGAGGGGGAAGCTCTGGGCTGCAGCAGACCACCCAGTGGTGCACGCCGGGCCTCGGTGGCGCCATTATTTTTGATGAGGTAAGAGGGGGGAGGGGAAGGGGTAAAACTTGGGTGAAAGGGGAGAGAGAGTTGGGTGGAGGGGGGGAATGGGTAAGACTTGGGTGTAGCAGATCACCCAAAGGTGCATGGGAAAGCCTTGTTCCACTTGCATTGCATGTGTGCTATTCGGTCTGCTGTGCTGTGCGTTCTCATCTCAACACTCTGACCTTCTCTCATAATTTCCTCCAGTTTTCCAACCCCCCTACTCCTTTCCCTCCTCCCTCCCTGCTGTGCGTGCTCCCTATCGCCTGTGTGTATGCGTATTATGTGTGTGTGCGTGTGCGTGTATGCACGCATGGCAGTGTCACAAGGCCAAGAACCTGGTGCCGGAGTCAGGGGGCAACGCCACGCGCACAGGCGAGGCCGTCATGGAGTTGCAGGTAGGGAGGCAGGGGGGAAAGGGTGCAGGGGTTGTCAGAGCAAGTGGGGGGAGAGAGAGTGGGTAGGGTGGGATGGGGATAGATGTGATGGTCACTTGTGGTTCGAGGGGGGGCAGGGCGCCTTTGGGAGGGGGGAGATGTGTGGAGTGTGGGCCTCGCTTGCTGTGTGCTACAGGCGTTTTGTGGAAAGAACTCCCATCTCTGATTGCTGCTTCCCCCATCCTTTCTCAAGAACCTTCTCCCTTCCTCGCATCTTGTTCTCTCCTTACACCGCGCCCCCCCGTGCAACCTTGCATGCCCCCTGCTCAAGCACACCCCTCGCTCCCTCTGCCCGCCCCTCCCGCTGCCCATCACTCCCCGGGCAGGCGAAGCTACCGAACGCGCGAGTGGTGTACTGCAGTGCAACGGGTGCATCGGAGCCACGGCACGTAGGGTACATGACACGGCTGGGGCTGTGGGGCGATGGCACGCCCTTCCTCAACTTCCAACACTTCCTCGGTACTTGCCATGCCACTGCCGTCACTCACTCGTTCCCTCGCTTGTGTACTCACCTACAAACCACTGTACCTTGCACTGTGGCCCACTTACCCTCGTCTCCTGTTATGTGCTTCCACTGCCCTCTCCACTGCCCTCTCCACTGCCCTCTCCACTGCCCTCTCCACTGCCATCTCCACTGCCATCTCCACTGCCATCTCCACTGCCGATAGTCAAGCTACAGCACAAACCTCAGCACCGGTTCCTCCTTGACGCTTCCTGCCCTCCCCGTTCCCTGCTCCCATGTATGTTCCGCCGGTGCTGTTTCAGGCACGATTGACAAGCGGGGAGTGGGAGCACTGGAGCTCATGGCCATGGACATGAAAGCCCGGTTAGTGCTCCGCCCATGCCCGTGCCCATGCCCGTGCCCATGCCCATGTCATGCACCAAGCTAACCTTTGTATTCATTCCACATAGCTGCCCCCACCAGCCTGCCTCCATCCACGGCTGCTCGGTCCGTTTCCTCACATCGCTACCCGGCCCACCCGTCTGCCTCTCCACCCCCACCCCTTCCCTCCTGCAACTCCCCCATTCCCCTCTCCCCTCCTCTTCCATTCAAACCGCAGGGGAATGTACGTGTGTCGCACGCTGAGCTTCGACGGCGCGGAGTTCGAGGTGGTGCATGTGCCACTGGAGCCCAGCATGCAGGTGAGCCGTGCGGGCAGAGGGAGGGGGGGGCTGGATGCCTGTGGACGGTTGGATTGCTGTGTGTCTGCATTTGCTGGTGGTGCTTGCTCTCTGCACTCGCCTGTGCAAATCGGCATCAAGGGCGACCCACCGCCCGCGTTTCCTCGTCCGCCTCTCACCCTTTTCTCCTCCCATCTCCCCTTTCCACACCCCTCCTCCCCCCCACCTTCACGAGATGTACGGCACTGCCATGGGCGGAGCTGAGGGCGGACATGATAGCGCCACCTCTCCCCTCACGTTTCCCCAACCCCTTCCCTCTCCCCCCTTTCCCCTCTCTCCAACTCCCCCTCTCCCCCCCCCCCCCCCCAGGAGATGTACTCCAAGGCGGCGCAGCTGTGGGCGGAGCTGAGGGGGCGGACATGAAAGCATCACTTCTCCCCTCTCGTTTCTCTCACCCCTTTCCCCCTCTCCCCCTTTCTCCCACTGCCCATCTCCCCCCCGCTCCCACTTCCCCCCCCCTTTCACCCCTCCCCTCAGGAGATGTATTCCAAGGCGGCGCAGCTATGGGCGGAGCTGAGGGCGGACATGATAGCAGCGGCGCTCGCCCTGTCCTCTGCTCAGAGCGCCTCTGCCTCCGACTCCTCCAAGCGCTCCTCCGCCAACGCTGTCTGGCGCACCTTCTGGGCCGCGCACCAGGTGCTGTGGAAGGAGGGAGGGGCGGGAGAAAGGGGGTGGGGGTAGGATGAGGAGGAGGATGGGGGATGAGAGCACCAGAGCACAGTGCTGCAACGTATTGTCTCCTTCCAGCTGCTCACCCTCCTCACATCATTCTGGCACCGCGCTCCCCTACTGTAAAGATTCTATCACCCTCATCCTCCTCTCCCTTCCTCTCCTCCCCACCCGCAACCTGCCTTTGGCCTTCTCCCACCCTTCCATTGCACCTGCTATTCCAACTTCTGTGCATTTGTTTTAGGCGCCTCAAATGCAGCACTCAACCCACATCCACCCCCCCCCTCCCTCTTATCCCCACCATTCCAGTGGGTCTTCCAGCTCTGTGCATCTTCCGACGCGCCGCAACTCACCTCTCCCCGTCCTCTTTCCCCTCCTCTCTCCCCATTTCCCCCTCCGTTCCCCCCTTTCCACCAGCGTTTCTCCCACCACCTGTGCATCAGCGCCAAGAGGTGCCAGCAGCAGTGCGCATGGCTTCAAAGTGCCTCAATTCACCCTTCCCCCTTCCTCTTCCCCCGCTCTCCCCCACCCCCCCCCCCCTTCTCCCCCTCGCCTTCTCCCTCTCTCCCCCTCCCTCTTCTCTGCCAGCGGTTCTTCCGCCATCTGTGCATCAGCGCCAAGGTGCCAGCAGCGGTGCGCATGGTGCAGCAAGCAATAGCGGAGGGCAAGTGCGTGGTCATCGGGCTGCAGAGTACGGGCGAGGCCCGCACCGACGAGGCTGTTGCTAAACTGGTGCGGTAGGGAGGGGTGTGAGAGGGAGGGGGTGCTGTGCATGGGTTTCTTGAATGTGCGGAAGAGATTGTTGGGGGGAGGAAGAGATTGTTGGGGGGAGGAAGAGATTGTTGGGGGGAGGAAGAGATTGTTGGGGGGAGGAAGAGAGGGGGCGGCGGGGTGGTTGGGTAGCAGGCAGTGGCGGAGGGCAAGTGCGTGATCATAGGGCTGCAGAGCACAGGTGAGGCCAGGACCGATGAGGCTGTCACTCAACTGGTGCGGCGGGGAGAGGGGAGGGGAAGGGGGCGCTGTGCGTGGATGCTTGGGAGGAGCTGGGGAAAGGGGGGCAACTTGGCTGTAGGCCATATTCAGTATGCTATGCATCAACTTCACCATCCACAGTTCTGCCCATGCTTCGCTACTCCTCCATCCCTCGCCCTTTCTCCATCGCCCTTTCTCCATCGCCCTTTCTCCATCGCCCTTTCTCCCCCCTCCCCCCTCTCCCAACCCACCCTCCCCCGCCCATTCCTCTTCCCCTATCCGCCCTCATCTCCTCCTGCATTGCTCCCAGGGTACGGGAATGGACGGCTTTGTGAGTGGCCCCAGGGAGATACTGCTCAAGCTTGTGGAGGAATGAGACCTGTGTGTGATTTCTGCGTCCGACTCAAACATTTCCCTCCCCCCTCTCCTCTCCCTCCATCCGCCCTCATCTCCCCCTGCGCCTGCATTGCCCCCCAGGGCACTGAGATGGGCAACTTTGTGAGTGCGTGGGGGGATCCTGCTCAAGCTCGTGGGGGAATGAGACCGAGACGATTACTTTACTCGACTCAAAAGTTCCCTCCCCGTTCTTCCCCCCATCTCCCCCGTGCGTTGTCCTCCCAGGGCACGGAGATGGACGACTTTGTGAGTGGCCCCAGGGAGATCCTGCTCAAGCTCGTGGAGGAGACCTACCCACTGCCCCCGCCACCGGCCCTGCCCAAACGTCTGCTGCTGCCCTGCCCTGCCCTGCCCTGCCCTGCCGTTCCATGGGCTCTACTGGTGGTTTGTTCTTTATTCTTATTCTCAAAAGTGGCTTTGATGCATCGACCGCTCCTCCTTGACCCTTGGAAGCTTGCCTAGTTCCACCTGTCATGGGCCTTACTAGTGCGTTCCATTCCTTGCGACTCCCCGCTGTCCCTCCACTCCATCCTCATCGTCCACCTTCATGCACCGCATTGCACTCCCTTGACCCCCACTCAGAGGGCGAAGAGCTGAAGAAGGAGCGGGAGCGGGAGCAGGAGAGGGGCGTGAGTCGGGGTGTGTCGGTGTCGCAGCGGGGGAGGGTGCGGCGCGCAGTCAAGTACGAGAGCGATGATAGCGAGGAGGACGGTGATGAGGACTTCGATGGTGAGGCATGAGGACGGTGGCTAGGGAGTGAGGTGGGGGGTGTGAGGTGGGAGGGAGGTGGTTAAGGGGGGGGTGTGAGGTGGTTGGGGGTTAGTGGGGAGGATGCAGTGGGTAAAGTCGATGCGAGAGCAAATGGGGTGGGAATGTGAGCAGTACATGTGACAGCATCAGCTAGTCGCACCTGGTGTCAATGGTAGGGCAGTGAAGGCAATCAACTAAATCCTCTCACATGGCCATGGCTCGCAGCATCCCCCTCTCTCCCTCACTCCCTCAACCTCAACCTCTCATTCTCACCCCTCTCACCCCTTGCACCCCTCTCACCCCTCGCTCCCTCGCGCCCACCGCCCATGTGAGCAGCGGCATCGGAGACATCATCGGACGACAGTGACTTCCAAGGAGACATCTGCCAGATCTGCCATGACGAGGAGGTGCGCCTCGCCTCGCCTCGCTCCCACCTCCCACCCACCCACCCACTGACTGCGCCTCGCCTTCTTTGCTCATTTTGATGTCTTTCAGAATGCCCATCACATCACCAGCATATGCCCCTCTCTCGAGTCTGCTTCCTGTCCCTTTTTAAAGCTTCCCAACACTAAAGTTTCCCAAGAAGCAAGCACACACACTTCTCTTGAATCTGTTGCTTCCCATGCACGCCCTTCTCTCTACCCTCTTCCCACCCTCCCACCCTCCCACCCTCCCACCCTCCCACCCTCCCATCCGCCCTCCTTGCAGCTGTCTGGGTCGCTGATGGCATGTACGGTGTGCTCGCGTGTCGGCCACGTGGCGTGCTTTGAGAGGCACACCGGCAGAAGCGGCGGTTACCACCCCTGGTTGGCTGACGCCCCCCGAGGCCACGTTAGCACCAGGTCAGCAGCAGGCAGCGAGCGGCTGGCGGGGGGAACAAGGAATCGAGGAGGTGACGTGGCGAGCCCAATAGACCTGGGAGATGATGACGTGGATGAGGAGGAGGAGGAGAGTGGAAGGGAGGAGGCGGAGGAGGGGATTGAGGAGGAGGGGAGGAAAAAAACGAAGAGCAGGAAGGCAGGAGGGAGCAGCAGTGGGAGTGAAGGGGGGAGCAGCGGGCAGGAGGAGGAGGGGGAGGCGCAGGTGCCGTGGCTGTGTGGGGAGTGTGACAAGACAACGAGTGAGATTCGCACGGAGAGAGAGACTTACCTCTCTGAGATGGAAGCCAGGTTAGTGCTTTCTTCAGGGTTCATGCGCTCAGTATTTACAGTAGCGGGTTCAAGATACAAGTCTATACAGGCATGGTATGACATGCCATGGCTGGGGAGGGCTCCGCAGGGCGTGGTCGAAACGTGTCGGTCGACTTTCATTCCTTGAAATATATGTGTGTTCTATCCCTACACCCGTGCTCACCTCTTTCTTAAGTCACTCTTACTGAGCCGCCACAGCAGTCCACCCTTTGATTCTATCGCCCCCCATCACCAGGTATAACACGGCTGTCGCTCGCAAGGCCGAGATCATGGAAGCCATCAGGAAGCTTCCTCTGCCGAACAACCCTCTGGATGAGCTCATAGACAAGGTGAGTGGGCGAGAGTGGGTGCGAGTGGGTGTGAGTGGGTGCGAGTGGGTGCGAGTGGGTGCGAGTGGGTGCGAGTGGGTGCGAGTGGGTGCGAGTGGGTGCGAGTGGGTGCGAGTGGGCGTGAGTGGGTGCGAGTGGGCGTGAGTGGGTGCGAGTGGGCGTGAGTGAGCCTTTTTGCTGCTTCCGGCCGTTACTAGATGTCGCCAGCTATTGTTCTGTGGGATGACTTTCTGCTGATCATATCCACTGCACACACTGCTGATACGCACTCTGTATGTGACTGGGTGGGTGTGTGTGTGGTGTGTGGGTGTGTGGGTGTGTGTGTGGTGTGTGGGTGTGTGTGTGGGTGTGCGGGTGTGTGAGTGTGCGGGCGACTGGCTATGTGGATGTGTGGCTGTGTTTCGGTGTGCTGGTGTGGTGGTGTGTGTGTACATGCGTGCATGGGAGCAGCTGGGAGGGCCAGAGGCAGTGGCGGAGATGACAGGGCGGAGGGGCATGCTGGTGCGCACAACCACGGGGGAAGGCAAGGGCACCGTCAGCTACCAGGCGAGGAACTCGTGAGTCACGCCTCAGAAGACTTTTGAGGTGCCTCAAAAGTACTGCCATGCATTGCACTGTGGCTACACGCATGTGTGAACTCGTGACCTTGTGAGTCGTGCCTGTGCAATGCGCGTCGATGCCTGTCACGCTTCCATGCACGCATTCGTGCATGCATCGCCTGTCTCACTTGCACTGCTGTTTCTGTCTCACCGGTCCCACCCCACCCCACCCCACCCCACCCCACTCCACCCCGCTCCACTCCACTCCGTCCCCACCAGCAAGGACGTGGCAGCGGAGATGGTGAACATGAGGGAGAAGGCGCTGTTCATGGCGGGGGACAAGCTCATCGCCATCATCTCCGAGGCCGCCAGCGCTGGCATCTCCCTGCAGGCCGACCGCCGCGCTAAAAACCAGGTGCGCTGCTCCTCTTCCACCCTACCCATGTAATGTACCAAGCCTCCCCTTTTAACCCAACCACACCCCTACGCGTCTGTGCGCTCTCTATCACAATTGTCCCCTCTTCCTTCCCCTCTTCTCCCCTTCCTGCCCCCCTTTCTCTTCCCCACGCACTTTGGTCCGTTCCCCGACTGGCCACCTGTTTCCCCCACCTCCTCAGCGCCGCCGGGTGCACATCACGGTGGAGCTGCCGTGAAGTTCGACCGTGCCATCCAGCAGTTTGGAGGTGACTCGTGAGTTGACTCAGAAGTCCCCTCCTATCCTTTCCCCCCTCCCTCGCAGCGTCGCCGGGTGCACATAACGGTGGAGCTGCCGTGGAGTGCTGACCGTGCCATCCAGCAGTTTGGCCGCTCCCACCGCTCCAACCAGGCCAGCGCGCCGCAGTACAGGTGGGCGGCAGTACAGGTGGGCGGCAGTACAGGTGGGCGGCAGTACAGGTGGGCGGCAGTACAGGTGGGCGGCAGTACAGGTGGGCGGCAGTACAGGTGGGCGGCAGTGCAGGTGGGCGGCAGTACAGGTGGGCGGCAGTACAGGTGGGCGGCAGTGCAGGTGGGCGGTATTGCAGGTGGGTGGCAGTACAGGTGGGTCGTATTGCAGGTGGGCGACAGTACAGGTGGGTGGTATTGCAGGTGGGCGGCAGTGTTATTTTCTAGAGACGCGCATTTCCCAGAGGTAAAACCAGAGTAGCAGCTCGTCTCTGCTCTGCCCTCACATCATTGCCCTTTGTCTCCGCGTAATAGTTAGTTGACTTTTGAGTCGACTCAAAAGTCACATCATTGCCCTTTGTCTCCGCGTAATAGTTATTCAGTTGTGACGCTACTCACCTTCCCCTTTGCTCCCCCACCTCACCCCTTTTACGCCCTCCAACCCCCACGCGCCACCCCCTCTCAGGCTGCTATTCACGGAGCTGGGGGGTGAGAAGCGGTTTGCCTCGGTGGTGGCCAAGCGCCTGGAGTCACTGGGAGCTCTCACACAGGGGGACCGCAGGTGTGTGTGGTGCTGCTGGTGCAGGTGTGTGTGGTGCTGCTGGTGCTGGTGTGTGCGCTGGTGCAGGTATATACCCGCCCCCTCCCAACTCTGCTTCCTGTTCCAACCAATTCAACCCCATGCTGCTAGCCCCTCCAACCCGCCCCCTGAAGCAGCCCTGCACATGCACCAACCCTGCTGCTGCTACCTAACAGCATCCTCCTACTGCTCTGCTTTCCCCAGGGCGGGCCCGTCGCTCTCAGCTTTCAACTCCGAGGGCGTGTGGGGCAAGAGAGCCCTCTCCACCATGTATCGCTGCATCATGGATAACATGCCCACCCCCGCACCACCCCCCGGCTGCTCGCCGCATGCTGTTCTCCTGCCCACCCCTATACCCCCTTCCATGGAACCCAGCACATGCTAACCTTGGTGCCTTTGCAACTCTCATACCTTGTCTCCCCTCCCCCTTCCCCCCCCCCCTCCCCCTTTTCCCAGGGCGGGTCCGTCCCTGTCAGCATTCAACTACGAGGGCGTGTGGGGCAAGCGGGCCCTCTCCACCATGTATCGTTGCATCATGGATAACATGCCTGCCCCTGCACCACCCCCCGGCTGCCCGCAAAAGTTTGACGACGCCTGGGTGAAGTTTTACCAGGCTGCCCGAGCTGCCCTGATTATTGTTGGGATCGTCAGAGATCCGACCTTCAACACATGTGAGTTTACATGTGCCAACCACATGTATGCCAACTGGACATGTGCGATATGGATGGACATGATGTATATGAGTCCATCGTGTATTGGTGCCTGAAAATATTTGCAAGGCACACCTTCACAAGGCTGCATGCAACCAATATTTGCCTACATCCCCATCTCCTTCACCTCCACCACTTATGCTCGTCTCTCCCTTCGTCTCCCCCGTTTCCGGCTCTCCTCCACCCGTCCACTCCCTTGCGGCAGCAGCAGCGGCAGCGGGGGGCATGTATGCGGTGGGGGGGAAGATCCCCGAGTCGGACATGTCAGATGTCGCTCGCTTCCTCAACCGCATGCTGGGACTGCAGCCCGCACAGCAGAACAGGTGCCTGCCTGCCTGCCTGCCTGCCTGCCTGCCTGCCTGCCTGCCTGCCCGCCCGCCCGCCCGCCCGCCCGCCCGCCCGCCCGCCCGCCCGCCCGCCCGCCCGCCCGCCCGCCCGCCCGCCCGCCCGTGGTTCTGCATGTGACTTCAGAACGGAAGCTCGGCATCCCATCGCTCCATATTCTCGCCATTGCCGCGTTCTCCCTGCACCAGCCCATTGTTCCACAGCTCCATCACCCCCCATGTCCCCCGTCTTCTCCCCTTCCTCCCCCCATCCTCCCTGTCAGACTCCCTTCCTCGCTTCCCCCTCCTCAAATAACGCCAGTCTACGAAGGCTGCTTGGAAATAAAAGTGTTTTCTGGCACCTCCCCCCCACTCCCTCCCCACCCTCTCCCAACTCCAGGTTGTTTGAGTTCTTTGCGGCCATATTCGCGCACCTAGTGGCAACAGCGCGCAAGGAGGGCGAGCTGGACATGGGCATCATCAGCGTGCGCGCGCCCAGAATCACCGTCACACAGCCGTCGCAGGTGAGGCAGTTGTTGTTCTCGAGGAGTTTACAGAATGTGTGTGAGGAGAGGGCGATCACAAGGAGGGCGAGCCGGGCGTGGGTATCATCAGCGTACGCGCGCCCAGAATCACCGTCACACAGCCGTCGCAGGTGAGGCAGTTGTTGTTCTCGAGGAGTTTACAGAATGTGTCTGAGGAGAGGGCGATCACAAGGAGGGCGAGCCGGGCGTGGGTATCATCAGCGTGCGCGCGCCCAGAATCACCGTCACACAGCCGTCGCAGGTGAGGCAGTTGTTGTTCTCGAGGAGTTTACAGAATGTGTGTGAGGAGAGGGCGATCACAAGGAGGGCGAGCCGGGCGTGGGTATCATCAGCGTGCGCGCGCCCAGAATCACCGTCACACAGCCGTCGCAGGTGAGGCAGTTGTTGTTCTCGAGGAGTTTACAGAATGTGTGTGAGGAGAGGGCGATCACAAGGAGGGCGAGCCGGGCGTGGGTATCATCAGCGTGCGCGCGCCCAGAATCACCGTCACACAGCCGTCGCAGGTGAGTGAGCCTGCAGCGCCGCAGTTCCTTGTTCTTGAGGATTCTACAGAATGCGATTGACAAGAGTGCAGTTTCAAGGAGGGCAAGCTAGATGTGGGTATAATCAATCAGTGAGCACGCACGGGTGAGTGAGCCTGCAGCGCCGCAGTCCTTGTTTGCTCTTGAGACATTTCGGAATGTTGTGGAGCACGGGTTTCGGGCTGTGCTTGGAGCGTCACACAGCGTGGGTTGTGTGGTGTGGACCGAGTCTGTGCGCCGGCACCTGAATCGTTCTCATCATCTTTCAAGTGCAATCTGTGTCTTTGTGTGCGTGTGCGTTTGCGTGCGTGTGTGGGCGTGCATGTATCCATGTGTGCACCAGGTGGTGTGTGAGGATGAGGTATCAGGAGGCAAGACCTTCCATGTTGTTCTCACCATCGACAAAGGTCTCAACTGGGAGGTACGTGCGCTCATGCGCCCACCATGCCCTCACAATGCACCCACAATCCGCCCACAATTCGCCCACAATCCGCCCACCATGCGCCCACCATGCCTTCATCATAGCTTCAATCGTTTTCTCCTCTCTTCAAGCCTCCCTCCTGTCTTTACATTACCCTCGCAGGCTTATCACTGACCCATCAAGCTTTTCAATGTCCACTCCAATGCTCCCTCCCCTCCAATGCTCTCTTCTGCTGCCATTCTATTCCAGTCTGCACGGCAACTATTCAATGATGCATCAGCTAAGGTGGGGCAGCAGGGCAGGGCGGAGGGGGGCGGGGAGGAGGATGGGGAGAGCGGGGAGTTGGAGGAGGGGGAGAAGGGGAAGGAGGCGAGGGGGAAGAAGAGGAAGCAGGGGGAGGGGGAGGGGGGGAGTGGTGACGGTGTGGAGGGTGGACAGGTGAAGATTGAGGAGGGTAGTTTGGAGAAGGAGGGGCAAGATGGGAAAGAGGAGGGGAAGGAGGGGAAGGAGAGGGATGGAAAGGATGGAAAAGATGGGAATGAGAAGGAGGGGAAGGAGGGGAAGGAGGGGAAGGAGGTGAAGGAGGTGAAGGAGGAGCGGGATGGGAAGGAGGAGGGGACGGAAGCGAGGGAGGCGAGGCAGTGGAGGGAGCGAGCGGCACGAGTGAACGGGTTCTATGTGTCACAGAGGGAGTGGCTAGGGCGCAAGCACTACCTGCTGGCCCTCCTCTGGTGCGTGCGCCTCTCTCTGTCTGCTCTTCCTACGCCGCTCTCTGCTCCATCCGCTCTCTGCTCCATCCGCTCTCTTCTCCATCTCTCTGCTCCATCTCTCTGCTCCATCTCTCTTCTCCATCTCTCTGCTCCATCTCTCTTCTCCATCTCTCTGCTCCATCTCTCTTCTCCATCTCTCTTCTCCATCTCTCTGCTCCATCTCTCTGCTCCATCTCTCTGCTCCATCTCTCTTCTCCATCTCTCTGCTCCATCTCTCTTCTCCATCTCTCTTCTCCATCTCTCTGCTCCATCTCTCTTCTCCATCTCTCTGCTCCATCTCTCTGCTCCATCTCTCTGCTCCATCTCTCTGCTCTATCTCTCTTCTCCATCTCTCTGCTCCGTGGGCCTGCCACTGGGTATATGCATGCGGCAGGCAGTGCACTACCTTTTGCCTAGTCTAGCCTTTGCTGCGATGCATTGGCCCATCCTGCCCTTTTCCTCTGAGTCATCTCCCTCCCGGGCCTCTGTGCCATGCCCCCACCCCACCATCTCACCATCCCCATGCCTGCATGGAGCAGTCCGCCAGCAGCGGGGCAGAAAGCAGCAGTGCAGATATTCCGACCACGCACGTCTGCAGCTAACAGGTGCATAGGGCAGAGGGAGAGAGGGTAGAGGGAGAGAGGGCAGGAGTAGCAAGGGCAGTGGTGCAGAGGGTGCATGCAGCAGAAAAGAGGTGTTTCCAGTACACTAGTGTCTACACGTCTAGTTGAGTTCAGCAATACCCTTCCATCGTTTTCAGGCGGTTTTCTCTCCTCAAAAAGCCATGTTGTTCTCCTCTTGACCGTTACCATGCCACCCACGTGGGTGGGTTACTCTCTCCACTAGTGTCTCCCTCCTTAGAGCCACGCACGTCCACTACACCTTCTCCAGGCTCGCTGTATACCTTTCCATGTCCACTCCTTTCCTTCTCACCCTTCCTTGCGTGTGCCGTGCGAGGCCCACCCCTCTGTGGGACTTTTCGGACAAGTATACCAAGCTGCCTTTTTAGTAGACTCAAATATCCCACCTTCCTCGTCTGCCCGTCCCGCCCGTCCCTGCATGTGCCGGCCAGGCCCACCCCTCTGGTGGACTTTCTGGACAAGTATTCCAAGCTGCCGCCCGCCAGGCTGTCATCACTGCAAGCCATCTGGGATGCGGAGTATGAGCTGTCCGCCACTCAGGTGAGCTGCGCTGCACATGGGTCGGTCAGCGCTGCATGATGCCTTGCACATTGTACCTGAGTTGAAGGGTGCCTTTGAGTCCGCATTGTGTCCTGCTTATGACACTTGCAGCTCATAGCGTGCACAGCTCAATCATGCACTCAGCTGATAGTGTGAACCGTTAAGAGGAGATTGAGCTGTGCTGTGTACTTATCCCCTGTTCTCACTGTTTATTTCAGCTCCCATCACCCTTCATTCACTCTCAGCATCCCTCACCCACCTCACGTCCTGTCTCTCAGTAATGGCGGGGAATCAGAAACATACCTACCATGTGTGTCCTTCCTGCATCTATAGCCATCCTCCACCCTTGTCCTGCCACCTCGTTGCCCCTCCTCCCATCCAGTGCATGCACGGCCCCAAGTGCAGGGCAGGGAGGGCGAGCTGCAAGGAGATGATGTTTGAGCCGACTTCAGAGTCCCCTTGTCCTGCCACCTCGTTGCCCCTCCTCCCATCCAGTGCATGCACGGCCCCAAGTGCCGGGCAGGGGCGAGCTGCAGGGTGGGGTTGCGGCTGCAGCAGATGCACCTGCTGCATGGGGCCGTGTTCCCTGTCTTTGGCGTCATTGACCAGGCACTCATGGCACAGGCAAGTGGTTGAGAGGCGCTCATGGCGCAGGCAAGTGGTTGAGAGGCGCTCATGGCGCAGGCAAGTGGTTGAGAGGCGCTCATGGCGCAGGCAAGTGGTTGAGAGGCGCTCATGGCACAGGCAAGTGGTTGAGAGGCGCTCATGGCGCAGGCAAGTGGTTGAGAGGCGCTCATGGCGCAGGCAAGTGGTTGAGAGGCGCTCATGGCACAGGCAAGTGGTTGAGAGGCGCTCATGGCGCAGGCAAGTGGTTGAGAGGCGCTCATGGCGCAGGCAAGTGGTTGAGAGGCGCTCATGGCGCAGGCAAGTGGTTGAGAGGCGCTCATGGCGCAGGCAAGTGGTTGAGAGGCGCTCATGGCGCAGGCAAGTGGTTGAGAGGCGCTCATGGCGCAGGCAAGTGGTTGAGAGGCGCTCATGGCGCAGGCAAGTGGTTGAGAGGCGCTCATGGCGCAGGCAAGCAAGCATGCACGTCATGCATGCATGCTCATGCTACACTGCTCATGGCACACGTGCACGCAGCAATTTTCCGTCTTCTTGCTCTCTCTACCATTGCTCTGCTTCCGCCCTCCTTTTCTCAACCCTCGTAAACCCCTCCCTCCCCACCCCCCCTGCTCCTCTCCTTCCGCAGTCGTCGGCGCAGCACAAGCGGGTGCAGGTGGCACATGTGGAGGCGAGTGATGGGCACAAGTATGTGGGGGTGCACCTGTCCATGCGCGGTGTCCGTTCTTGAGGCTCCTAAAAAACCAACCTCCAATCCGGCCCCACCCTTTCCTCCTCTCGTTGCGCAGTCATCAGCGCAGCACAAGCGGGTGCAGGTGGCACATGTGGAGGCGAGCGATGGAAACAAGTATGTGGGCGTGCACCTGCCTGCGCCCACTGTCATGCCCATCCTCGATGGTACGATGCTTGTGGGGATAGGGAGAGGGGGTAGAGAGAGGGGGAAGGCGGGAGGGAGTGGGATGCTGTGGCGGCTGTGCTGGGTGTTGTGGGTGACTGACTCCTTGGACTTCTACCACCACTCCGTTTTTAATACATGCGCACGCGCACACAGACACATGCACATACACAGGCACACACACACACACACACACGCAACCACGCACACGCACACACACACACACACACACGCACACACACACACACACACACACACACACACACACACACACAGAAAAGCACACAACATTTTAGTATTCACTGGGACGTTCACCTGTATGCCGTCTGTCTCCTCCATCTCCATCCCATCCTTGGTTCCACCGCAGGGATAAAGAAGCTCAAGGAAAGCAAGGAGGGCAATCGGGACCAACCTATCGACCTCTCCTGACCCTTACTGGACCTATTTCAACTATGTGCAACAAAATATTCTCACGGGCACCAGCAACTAGTCTACTAACTCTGAAGGTAGAATAACACGATATTAACGCTGAAGGATAAACACTACTGCCCTATATGCTATCTTAACTGTTACTCTCACGTGCTTTTAGGGTACACTTTCCAGGTAACTGCTAAGTCAACGGCTGCTGCTGTGCATGTTCAATGTAAATGTTTTGCGCTAACTTTTTACACGACTTGTCCAGTAGATCATAAGCTGTGCAAGTGTACGGGAAATTTTAAGAACGCTCTACTTGTATAGTGATATCTGACCGCTCTACGTACTATGCTGTTGATATCATAGAGTGCATGTTACACACAAATGATAAGATTCTGGAATCATACAGAAACAATGATATGGCGCTGCGCAGCGACGTCTGTGCATGTCGCGTCGCGCAATTATTTCAAATCTCTCGTTGTCGATCTCCAATAATGTTGCACCACCAACATCCTCCACTGCCCCGCGTTCTTGTTCCTTGCGACATTCAACCACACAGCAAGAGAAGCTCGCCCAGTTCCGTAGCAAAGGAGCTCTCTGATGTTTGTGTGCACCAGAACCTGCTAGGCTGCAACTGAATCTTTCACGCTCTGGCATGCACTGTCAATATTCGCATTGCAATCGCTAGTTCGAGCAGACTCAAGCTTCCGAGGACCAACGAATAGCACCAATTCTTTCGTTTTACTCGTTTACTCTTCGCTGCGAACATCGCTGCAGAGGAACAGCACCCCCTTACAGCAGCATTTCACGAAAACTGCGTCACAGCTCAATTGTGCGACTCGGAATCTACCGAGAAAGCGGCATCCGTGGAATTCGGCGGAACCGCACAGCCATAAATCGTCCGCGAGACTCCTCGAAACTCGGGCGACGCGGGCGGCCTCATCATGGCGACGGGCGGCGATGCGCCGAAGCGCGGCGAGTTGCGGTACGCGATGGTATCGCGCGGTGTGGACGTGCTGGCGGAGCATTCGATGGTAAAGGGCGACCTGAGCGCCACGGTGCAGGAGTGCCTCGCCGTGCTGCCCAAAGACCGCGCCACGTACATCGCGATGCCGTACGGCGACTTTATTATCGCATTCCAGACGGAGAAGGAATACGGTACGCGTCGCGGGCCCGGACGAAGGTCCAATGGGAAGCAGCGCGGCGCCAGGGTTAACGTTATAGGAGAACGTTATAGGAGAGGAGTTGGGCGGAGTGCTCCGGGATTGGTTGGCAATGGGAAGGTAGTTCGCGAAGTTGCGAGCCGGGGAGCGAATGTGGGAATAGCTTGCCGCATGTAGCCATGTTTTCTCTTGCTTCCCGTGAACCCTCCTCACAATCCTGTGCCCTCAATGGAAAATAATCAACAGCCGGCTTTTCGCTCCGGTCTCCTTACGCAGCACACACCTCGACAGCGAAATATCGCCTACACTTAAATGCTCCGCCTCCACGAGTCAACGCGTTCTTGTCCTCACCGCCCTGCGCGTCCCACCCCTGTCCACCCCCGCGCCTCTCCCCCCTTCTCCCCCATCTTCCCCCACTGATACCCCCCACCCCCCGCAGTGTTCGGAGTGCTGGCGGACAAGGAGGTGGCGCGCGACGTGCTGCGCGGGTTCCTGGGGAAGCTCCAGTCGGGTTTCATGCCCAAGTACGGCAGCAAGGCGCGCGCCATGCCCGCGGGCGCGCTGCAGCGCGAGTTCGGGTGAGTCAGCGGGCCCGGACCGGGGGATGGGGGGCGCCGAAACGGCGTCGCAGTGAAGAAAGGAAGCATCGCGCTGGTGTTACGCGACGTATTAGTACCGCTCGGCGAGGCTTGATTGCCCGACGCTTGTTGCACTCGCCTGACCCGTCTCTCCATTTCTATATCGCTCCCCTCGCTGCTCCTGCTCCACCAACCGTTGCGCCACTATTCCCACGTCCGTGCATGGCAGGCCGAAGCTGAAGCAGCAGCTGAAAGAGGGGACGGCGAGGCCGGAGGAGCTGAGCAAGTTGGTCAAGATAAAGGGGCAGGTGGAGGAGGTGAAAGGCGTTATGGTAGACAACATCCGCAAGGTGAGCGCGCGAAAGAAATCTTCTATACTTTCTTCTTCTTCTGCTTCTTCTTCTTTTACTTTTTTCTTTCCCTCTGACCTAGCCGCAAATATGCAGTCACGCTTACCTGCCCTCTCGTTGCGCCCCCTCCCACGGCTTTCTTAGCCCCCGTGCTTACCAGCCTGGTCTCTGTGTGTTTTCGCGCTCGCTGACCCGGCAGGTGATCAATCGCGGGGAGAAGCTGGAGGTCCTGAACGAGCAGGCGAACGCGCTACAAGAACAGGTGCGTGCTGCAGCCGCACGGGCATGGGTGTGTGATGGGAATGTGGCGTGTGGGTGCGCGGATGAAGCGAGCAGGGAAAGGAGAAGGAACATCTATCAAGTGGGACAATATGGCTCACCGTTCGGCTGGTAGAATTATTGCCTGTCCCACCGCTTTTCCTTGATAAACATGTCACCCTCCGGCATTCTCTGTTTTGTGTGGACAGGCTGGGCAATTTAAGAAGGAGGCAAAGAAGGTGAAGACGAAGATGTGGTGGGAGAACATGAAAATAAAGATCGTAATCATCTTGATCCTCCTGCTGCTGCTGGGAGGCATCGTCAGCCTTATCGCCTGCCGAATAGCCAAGTGCTAATAAGTGGCTTTCCAGCCGCCCTTACTCAGAACCTCCTCCTTGACACATACACACTCCACCAGTGCACTTCCCTCAATCCCATTGCTCAGTAGACTCTTTGGAAAGGAGGGTTTCTAATGATTAGGGATAGTGAATGTATAATGCATTTCCTTGATAATAGAGGGAAATAGCTAGCCATATAGATGAAAATGCCAGCCCTCCCTACCGGCGCCTGATATACTGAGTGATCATCTAACCTCGTTAATACCAGTGAACCACGATTCCGACGAATATCTAAGAGTATAGGAAAGCAGATGTAACGTGACTTCGCAATCTTCCTTTGTCCTCCTTTTCCCACCCCCTGAACCGTGCGCCACGCCCTCTCTGCACCTCGATGGGTGCGACAAGCCGTCTTCGCCTCCTACCTCTCCTCACACTTCCCTCGCTCCTCCTCTCCTTGTCTCTCATCCTCGTCACTTCCCATGTTGTCTACTTGGCGCCTGACAGTTTCGCCGACAACGTCGGAGGCGAGAAGGCCGTGTTCGTCGAGTTCTACGCGACATGGTACGCGTTAGAACCTGTTCTGTTACCAGTACTGCCTTGCATGTGTTAAACACCTGTCCAGTGGCAGTTTCAGTTTCCGTGCGGGCAGGGCAGGGCGCGCAGCGGCGGGCGGCGCGCGGGCAAGGCAGGGCGCACGACGGCGGGCGGCGGGCGGGCAGGGCAACGCGGCGGCGTGGCGCGCGGGCAGGGCAGGGCGCGCTGCGGTAAGCGGCGGCGTGGCGCGCAGGTAGGGCAGGGCGCGCGGGCAAACAGGGCGCGCTGCAGTTGACGGCGCGCGGGCAAAGCAGAGCGTGCTGCGGCGGGCAGCGCACGGGCAGGGCAGGGCGTGCGCAGGCAGCGCGACGCAGGGCAGGGCAGCGTGATCACGATGGCGCGACGGGTGGGGTAGCGCTACTCGGTGGGCCCTAAGGAAACGGTCATAGGCTAGGACCTGCTCTGATACCATGTCAAAAGTACGAACGAGAGTGAATTGACTAACAGCAGGATGGGTACAAGTGCTAACCCTAATTGGGTTGTACCCCATATGGGCTACAATAAGCAGAATATAAGTTTGACAGTTTTCATGACTCGTATGCGATGAGCTGTAAGCCGTTGCCGAAATCCTGTAGGAGTATGGCTCCAATGGCGATGTCGCTTGCGTCTGTAACTATTTCGAATGGGCGGTGTGGGTCGGCAATGCGCAGGACGGGTGGTGAAAAGACAACATTTTTCAGGGTAGAGAAGGCATCATGCTCTTTCTCCCCCTACGTAAAAGCGACCCCCTTCCGCAGCAAATCCGTCAATGGGGCGATCAACCGTACCATGTCGAGGACGAAACGACGCACATAATTAACGAGCCCTAAAAAACTTTGCAGCTACGTGGTACTCGTTGGGGGGTGCCACGCTTTTACCGTGTCCAGCTTCTTTGGGTCGATCTCAACTCCAGCCTCCGAAATAACGTGCCCGAAAAATTCTAACCTATCCTGGAAGAACTCGCACTTGGAACTCTTGGTCAGTAGTCTGTGCTCGTCTACAATTTTAAACACGACTTCCAGATCTGCTAAGTGCTGCTGCTTATCGCGACTGTAGGCTAGGATGTTGTCGAGGTAAACGATCACGCATTTATCTAAGAGCGACCTAAACGCCTCGTTCATGGTCATCTGAAATGTCGCCGTTGCGCTGGTCAGCCCGAATGGCATCACAGTGTACTCGAATGACCTGTACATAGTCCTGAATGCTGTCTTGGCACAGTCTGATGGTTCGACCCTAATCTGATGGTAACCTCCCCGTAAATCAATTTTTGAAAGGACCCGTGTTGTTCGCAGTTGATCTATCAATTCGTCGGCGCTAGGAATGGGGTATTGCGACTTGACTGTTACCCTGTTCAGTGCTCGGTAGTTGATACACATGCGAAACTCTCTATCTTTTTTTTGGTGTGAACAATATCGGTGCGACGAACGGTAACGAGCTCGGTCGGATGAACGTTGTCTCTAACATGTACTCTTGGCATTTGCTCTTGCGATGGCCCGACCTATTGCAAGCAAAGCAGCGCCCCTTAAATGGTGCAGCAGCTGCATTCGCCGCAACGGCGTGTACGGTGGCGTGCTCGGTTGGCCCCGAAGGGCGATGTCCATAATAGGACCCCGGTTTCGGACGCCGCAAAATGTCGATTTTATCAGCGAGCTCGAGGATCTCGTTGAAATTTGATAGCCCGCGTAGCATGATTTCGTGCGAGATGTCCGGCTTCAGCCCTTTGATGTAACCGTCCACCCGCTCCGCCTCGTGCAT